ATTCAGATTTGGAATAAACATTTTATTTTAATGGGCAATAATAGAATTTTTTTAAATGGGCATAGTGCTCAAGGGTCAAACTATTCTGTGATAAAACTTTATAGGCAATATTTTTTAAGTTACAGTCCAACATTAACAACGTAACTGTCATATGACCGTAAAATAAAAGTTAATCATTATAAACTACCATCAATCCCTCCATTTCATACAGATTATCCTGTCTCGCGTCACGGGACGGTTGGAGCTTATTAAAACAAATGTAATACTCGCCATGTACCCTGATGACACATGACAAGCTTGGGGAGGAAGGATTATGTAATTTGCCTTAGAGGCGAGTCTTTTGTCAATACCGAACATTGCCGAGTTTGCTGTGTTCAATCAGTTTGTCTTATGCCATCATGGTACACTTCAATGGTGGCATCACAAAAATACAAAAGATTTAGAATCCACTCGATGCTCACTGTGACGAAGTTTCACAAGATTTGCTGACAACACTTGTGGTCTACCCAAATTCCTTTTTTTAAATTTCGTTTTCCATTTTAATGTTTATTTTCAGTGTTGCAACATTCAGCTTCAACTCTATTCTCATTTCTCTGCTTTCTGTACTCAATCATGAACGAGAATGAGTTTGAGCCATACCGTGACAGAAAACGAGTAACAGTCAGGCAACTCCCGCGACCGCACCGTTTGCAGGTTGATCCCCTTTAAATTGAAGGTTATTTTCATGTCCACCAACCTGGAAATGAGGATAAGATTAGGTTCACCCATTCAGGTACAAAAATGTGCGGATGCGTGTATTGTGTGCCATGCTAAAAAGTGTTGTGGTAGAATACCTGTAAAAGTCCAGGTCAAAAAAGGATGTATTATGGGTTTTCCATTGGTGTGCGGTCTTCGGATCAAGTGACAGGCAAACTGGGGGAAAAGGAGAAAAGCCGGAAAAAAAAAGAAAGCAAGACCAAACAATAAGTATGAACCAATGCTTTTTCAATGTCTAACACGTGTTTTGGACATCCCATTAACGTAAATATTTTTTTTAATGACCAAAAATGGACATACCGGTCCATATTTTTCGCAAGACAGCGACGATATAGAACAAAAATGAGATTTGTTGATCTTCAAGCCTCATCCCTAACAAATTCATTTAATGTTGTAATTGCAAAAATTGGTACACAACAAATGAAAGTCCCTCTTTTGTTGTTTTTGTTTTGTCCTGCTCATATTGTTCTGAGCAAACAGAAGCTAACCTGTGTCGTGGTAAATTCATCTTCCTGACCTATGGTTATCATATTTTACCTCTTGACCAGAAATGTTGCCTCTCATTACATGTACTGTATCATTTGAAATACTTCAAAAATAAATTGAAAACAAATAAATTCCAAACCAGTGTAGTTAATCCTGTACGCTAAAGTTGGAGTGACATCACATTGGTTGACTTTTTAGACATATTCTTCAACATTTTGGTTGAACTCAAATTTAATAACTTTGGAGAGTTTGACTTTGGAAAAGAAACAACAATATTTTTTATTTGTTTAAACATCGAATTGTGGAATTCTGGGCAAAACAGAAGAAGAGAGTTTTATGTATGACCATTTTTATTGCTTGTATTTTAAGTTCTTATGTGGAAATGTTCACCTGTCTCCAACTGAGCGTCTATGTCATAGGTCTCCTCCGAAGGCGCCACACTGCCTCTGCTGTAGAGGTTTTTGCATAAGACCAGAGGCAGCAAGCCACCATCTTCATCCTCAGCATAACTGATGGGACCCACGGCAAGCCGGCCCAGCTGGCTGTACTGTAAACACCAGCAGCGTCACATGAATCCACTCATCCGAGCCAAATTGCAAACAAACGTCAGCGTAGCACACTTGATTGGCAGCACTTGCGCAATCAAACAATCGTTTTAAACACCTATCCTTCATTGAAACGTCAATCTTATGAAGAAAGCATTCATTTTTCTTTTTTTTTTTCTTTTTTTTTTGCTTTTGCTTTTCTTAATGATGATGACTGGTCAAACTTGCCTGATCCAGCACATAAAACAAGCTGTCATAGACACCTTGTTGTGAGTAGACTGCAACACTGTAGTCGTCCTCATCCACGCCGCTGTAGTCCTTCAGGAACAAGTTTTTCAGGGCCATGGCATTCTCCTCCTTGTAGGACACCACCAGCTGGTTGTTGAGTCCAAAAAGGACAAGCTGGAAGTGAAAAAAATAAAATAAAATATATGCCTTGTAATACCCATTGGCAAGTCACACATCGAGTAACCCTCACTGGTGACAAACTTAAGTCCTTGGGGGCTAATCAAGCCCGCCACTGAATTTTTTTGTGGCCACCAAAAACAAATAAAGTATGTTGACTTCATCTTTCTTGTTAAATGACTGTTATTTTCACTCTGGCAGAAAGTCTTGTTTGTTTATTGATCATATAAACAGAAAATGGAAATTGGACAGGAAGTAAATGGAATAAAATTGAAAAAAACAATTTACATGTTCAAAGGAAGTAAAAACCTATCTAGTCTTACCCCTTGTTCTTTGTGAGTTTAAATATTGTATCTTTACCAAATATATCTCATTTCTTTACCACAAGTAAACACGAAAAGTCTTTTACTTTTCATTGGCTTTATTTTGGCTTTTCGTGGTACCACTGACAGCAAACAAGGAACTAATGGAGATGAAATTGAATATCTTACGCAATATATTGAAGTGTCTGGCTTCTGAATACAATATGAGGAAAACAACAGAATAGCAATTTTCTGAACACATTTCCATCAATCAGATACGACTATCGTAAGTGTACTTACAATACACTGCACAGCACTTTGTGATGATATCACTCGATGTTCAAACCTTCAGGCATGTCAATATGGTAAGCAAAGTTTACTTTGCTTTCGTTTTTAGTCTTACTATTTGCATAGTGGTTATCCTTAGTCAAGATTGTTCCAATACTGCAGGGATGTCCAACTTGTTTTTAAACGCAAAGCCGCATGACACTTGTATGTAACAAAGATTCGAATTATATTGCCTCCAAACCGTCTCCTTAAGTATCACATATAATCCTAAAGGTGTAATGGTAAGACAAAAATCTGCCTCAACCACATGCTTGAGGCAGTTGCTATTTTGCAACAAAAACCCAACAACTTTTGCTTTCAGCAAAGCGACTGTATTGTTAATGCCAAAACACGATTGGCAATTAATCGACTTCAAGCTATAGCCACCATTGCAGACTGGTCTATGCATCGACAAGTCAGTTCAACCTTAAGTACAAGTAAGTGGCAGTGCCTGTCAGAGGTTTCATTAATGATTTGAATGTACTTCCTTCACCAAGTATCACATTGGCTAAGCAAGTGCAGTTGTGCAAAAGATTTTTTTTTTTTTTTGCTTTCATTTCCACTGGAACAAACGGGTTCTCTCCATTTCCTCTAAATGTTGCAATAACTTAACCACAGTCAGCAGCAAAGCGATCAAAGTTCACATATGCAAGTATGGCACACTTATATCATCACACAACATTTAAACAGATAGCAGCACATGGGACCTAAACACAAAGTTTCAACTTGCCATGCATGATTATTCAACAAAAAAAAATCAAATGTAATTGATTAAGTGACAGATTAAGAAACAAACGAGAATTTTGCAATGTGAGGTACATACTTGTGTGGTGATCATGACAATCTTGAGGATCTGCACCCCCAATTTCCAAGGGATGTGCCTTCGGGCCCGGTACTTCTCACATGGGCTCATAAAGTAGAACCTCAGGTCATCCCTCAGGTTTTCCTCCTTGACTAAATCTTGAGTTGTGGTCGAACTGGGGAACAAAATAGGTTTTCTGAAAATGGTCTGGGCATTTTACACTAATTTAGCGCAGGATTGGTGTATTTATTAAGACTCTTCAACACGCTGAACCGAGAACAAGACAGTGGTTACTTTCATGGCTGGAGCCGGAGTTCAGGAAGTTCAATATTTACTGTCAATATTTATTTTCAATATTACGAAACAATTCGAAGCAACTTTCAACGTGAAATGTCGTCGTCGTTATATGTTGATAAGGATCGTGTTTTCCTATTAAATCATTACTTTTAAACACACTACGCTTTTTAATGTTCAAACGTGACAGAAAATGACACTTAAATAAACGAAAATATGGTGAATACAAGTCAGAAACCACCTCAGGAATAGAACTCACCTCACTGAATTGCTCCGATCAAGATAGCGAACCAAGAGCTCCATGATGGACACACTGACAGCCCACGGCAGTCACTAGCCAAACTTGGCCATCAGTCTGACAGCCAGCAGCTGTGCTCTCCGCGAAGGCGCGTGGATCTTCAGATCGCCAATCAGCAAGCCTCTTGGGCGCTGCCAAAAATCTTGCCAGTGGTGACCACAAGGAGTCGCTGTGTGCACGTTTTACGACCCCCCCGCCCCCCCCTCCCACACACACACACACACACACAGAAACATGCAATTGAGAGATTTTGTCCCGTGACAAAACGTCATTGAAGGGATTCCTAAATATTACTATAAATACCAAATATCATTTCCTATACTCAGATCAGGTTTGTTTGCGATTGTTCTGATGAAACATCGTCCTTACTTGTAAATATTAAAATATTTGTTTTTTTGTTTTTTAATCACAGACAATTTAATTAATAGTGACGCTCGGAAGTTGTGTCCCTCAACGTACACGTAACAAACTTGGTGTTTAGCCAACAAACGTGTTTAGCCATCTTGAGGAAGACGTTGAGGAAAGGGTGTGGGGGTAGAGCGAGCGACTACACGTCTCCGGAGAAACGACATTGAAATGATTAGATTACTGTATTCTAATTTGGGGGGTTTGGGGAGCTCGAGTGCATTTGCTCAAATTGTCAGCAGATGTGGTAATCCTGTCTACACTGCACTAACAACACCGGTTCCCCAATTTGGGATTACTTTAAGGGAAGATGTTTTTTCGGTGGAATTGATATTCGTAATTCCAATTAACATAATCCACTGTACAACACGATTTACTTTCTGGATTTGCATAGAGGACGTTGACCTATGATCTGCGAATGGCTTGATTGTGGGAAGTTTGTCCCTCCTCAGCCACCACAGAGGACGAACCTTTCCGAGTGTGCTTCGTCTTTTATCAGAAGTTCTGTTTTAAAATGTCACTCTTCTTTCTCCTGTTTTTATCGTCGTTAATGGTGGTTAACTGGGCCGAATCCTGTCCTTGTGAGAGACCCGAATTATGCCAGCAGATACGCGACGAGAGAGATTTCGAGGTACAGTACTTTTGCTGGAGCTTTTAACTCCTAACAGAATAAATCCTCTCAACGAAGCACTTCGTGGGATTACAGTGTGATTACGATGTCCTCTGTACTGTACATGTATTGACACATAGTTCGAATAAAGCACTCAAAACTCTTAACTTTTGAAAACGTTGTTCTGCTTTGTACACGGTATTGATGTTGTAAATTGGTTTCCCAAGGTTCCTCCTTTTAACAAATGTATGATTCTTTCCTGACTAACGGGTCTTTTTTTTTCAAATCAAAATCAGATCATTGCTGATCATAGCAGTGCACGCAATATTTGTTAAGATAATGTAATATTTATCCAGTTTTTAAAACATTAATATTGTTGTACTATCAGGTGTTTTTTATACTGCGCGATATTTTTTGCTGAGGAAAAAAATCGGGAAGTTCTCGATGTACGATTTAGGACGTGACAGACGGTTAGGACATGTTTTGATCAGGGCACGCTCAGTTAGCGCAGCATACTGTTTTTCAAAGTATATTTTATATTGTCTCTTTCCTGCGTTTGAGTAAATTAGTAACTGACGACCCATATTCCGATTTACATACAATTCGGGGGCCCTTTATATGTTAATGCATTCCAGTGGTTGTCTTAAAAAACACGACAAAGCCCAGTCCCAAAACAACACTGGTCAACAAACGTTTTCTAATTGATGATTCAGAATCTGCCCTCGTTTTTTTTCTCCAGCACATTAGGTTTTCATAACAGTAATAATAATATAATAACAACATAGTTTGTAATATAGGAATATATCTAGCGATACTTATTAATAAAGGTTCAGCAACAGATGTTTGTTGTTTTTTTCAAACGTCATAGCTATAAATTACAATGCATGGTAAAATCTATATTGCAATCTTTTAATTGGTCAAACTTAAAAACAAAAAACTGACAAGATCTCCAAAATCTAGAAAAAAGCTGGGGGTGGGGGAAGTAAAGAGTTTTTTTTTTTTTTAAATCAGTGTCAAAAATATGTTTAGGGATACATACAGCAATCTCTGAATTTGCTGTTGACCTATGTAATTTACACTGATCCTGAGCCCGGCCGGATTTGAATCCAAAGCTGCAGAACTTTGAGGCAGTGAATCACTCTGTTGGCACACTTTAAATCCCTTTTGAGAAATATTTATAAAAAATATATTTAAAGAAGAACAAACATTAAAACTCACTTTTCGAGGGGTTTCTACTTCCTGATTTACCCAAAAGATTATCATATATTCCTCAATAAAAAAGCAAGTCCAAACTTACGACTGGCATTAATGTTATTATTATTGATTCTCATTTATAAAATAAAAGAAAATGTCTATTTGCCCGTCTGAGGCGGGCATAAGATTACATTTGGAATAGCTCTGCACCAGTTATTATGTATACAGTACAAATATGAACCACACAGAGAAAGCGTATATCCAGTTCACTAAATACTGCATACATAAGTGAGTAAGACTGACGTTTTAATGTGTGTGTGTGTGTGTGTGTGTGTGTGTGTGTGTGTGTGTGTGTGTGTGTGTGTGTGTGTGTGTGTGTGTGTGCTCTCAGGTGTTTGTGTTTGATGTGGGCGGGAAGACATGGAAGTCGTACAACTGGAGCGTGGTGACGACGGTAGCCACATTTGGGAAATATGACGCAGAGCTCATGTGTCATGCTCATTCCAAAGGAGCACGGGTCGTACTAAAAGGTATTGATATTAGTAAGAAATGCCAATGTGCTTTCTAGAATTTTTTTTTTTTCTTTGTGTCTGGATAATTTCTCGGTCATACAGGCCATTGTAATCTGCCAAGGTTGAATCAAGGCAACTGGTCTTTTGTTTGTTGAATCACACATTTGGTCGTTGTAACATAAAAAATGTAAAATAAATTCACATTTTTTCCAACTCTAAATCTGATATTGCTCGTATTGAACGACTCAAAATGTGTATTGGCCTAAGCTAAGGCAGCTTCATTTTTTTGTATTGGAACTCCTCCAAGTGTATCCTGATGAAATATTTCATGTCAGTCAATATTGATATATATTGAATATTATTTATTTTTTTGTTTGTTTATTTTTACTTTTCAAACTAAGGACCAGAGGGAAAAGGCTGCATTTTAGGGACTACTATTTTGAAATTTGATACTTAACCTGAAATATGAGCTTAAAACAACTATGGAAAAAGTCAAATTAACTGTCAATTTAATTATTTAATAAACATCGTTTTAGACAATGTATAAAGACAAAATATAACTTTTCGTATGAGTTCAATGAGTATATTTCATGGTAGACTCAAATTTTATGAAGAAGAGACAGCCAGTCTTAGATCAATGTGCAGGAAATTTTTTTTCTGCTGATTAAATAAAATATATTTTACAGTTAATGTTGGCTCTCGGGGGGTAATGCTAGCAAGCTAATGATTTTTCAGTGGAAGTTCAAGCTTCTGGAAATTGAGAGCTCATTCATACATGTCTTTCAAAAAGGTGACGTTCACCTCGCTGACATCGTGGACCAAAACAACAGGACAGGTTGGATAACGGAGAAAGTCAAGTTGGCCAAGAGTCAGTTCATGGATGGGATCAACATCGACATTGAACAAGCAGTAGAAGAAGGCTCGCCTGAGTACTTAGCCCTCACAGACCTGGTCAAAGAAACCACAGAGGCTTTCCACAGGGAGATCCCCGGTTCTCAGGTGACCATGTTACTGTTCCCCGTGTTACACCGAGAACCTCCCCCGCCGACCTAAATCCTGTTCTTTAGGTGTCCTTCGATGTCGCCTGGTCGCCCAAATGTATCGACAAGCGCTGCTACGACTACGTCACCATCGCCGAATCCTGCGATTTGGTTTTTGTGATGTCCTATGACGAGCAGAGCCAGATACTGGGGGACTGCATCGCCATGGCCAATGCCCCTGTCACGCAAACTCTCCATGGTTGGTGGTGCGCTTGTGCGTCCGGGATGAACCAAACGAGTCATGATGACCTCTCATCTTTCTGTCTGTCTCTCTCCAGCCTATGATCAGTATTTGAATTTGAAGATAGCGCCAGAGAAGTTAGTGATGGGTGTGCCGTGGTACGGCTATGACTACCCCTGTCTCAACCTTTCACAGGTAGAATATGACCCATCACTGATTTAACGAAGGCACATATTTTACATTTGAAAAATGTTATGCCACTCAAAACGTTTAAGTGCCTTCCATCTAATTTAAGAGCATCTGAATGTTCTGCTTGTCACTATATTCCACTTGACAGAGTGGTGGAAAAAACAAAAATTTGGACCAAAGAACCGAAATGGGATAACTTCCTGCAGCACAATAACGTGCCACGGTACACTAGTTGAGAATCAATGATCGAAAGCGGTGATTCTCAACTAGTGGGGCTGGACCGAATCGCAGTCAACCAGTCAAATTTTGGACGTAGTATACAACAGTGCAGAGCAACTCGCTATGAACTCCGTTTGCACAGCAGCATACAAATACCATCACCACTGTTCTTAATAGTTTACCGTAGTGATTGTTTTTCATACAAATATTTCCTGGAATTATGATTTCAGTACTGCAGTTAGACGACAGTGTGTTCCAACTTTCGGCCAAATGCAGGTTACAGTACGTCGCTGCTGTAGGGATGGAACTTTGTCGTAGGTCGAGGACCCCCGTGTACGGTGAAATATTTCATTTGCATCCCATGTCGGAATTGTCTTAAATCACATTGCTTTGACCGGCTTATCAGAAATGTTATTATTAGTGGTGTAACAGTACATTCGTGTTCATATTCAGATTTTTTCATGGAGAATATATCCACCGATCCATCCATTTTCTGATTCACATTATCCTCACAAGGGTCACTGGGGGTGGGGGGGGGGGCGCTGGAGCCTATCCCAGCTGACTTCGGGCATTAGGCGGGAGACACCCTGAACCGTTTGCCAGCCAATCGCAGGGCACAGAGAGACAAACAACCATCCGCTTTCACATTGACGCCTAAGGACAATTGAGAGTGTTCCATTAATGCAGAATATATGAGGTACTTAAATAAATATGGTGCTGGTCAGCCTGTGCTAGCACATATCATGTCAATGATATGCCTTTGGAAGTGCGTCAAACTCAGTCAAACGTGAATACGAGTGCAGCACGAAAAAAAGGAAAAACTTAACTGTACACCGCGAAAGCAGTAAAACAACCTTGTCTGGTCAACCGTCTGTTGTAATAAGTGTTGCAAAAAAAAAAAAAAAAAACATACCACAATTTTTGAGGGAATCTTTTGGTGCTTAGCGTCTCATGTGACATCAGAGCAGTACGAACGCTGAAAATGTGTGTGCCCTTACAGATACATTTTATTCAAATTTCCGAATTATAAGACCTCAGTCATTTGAATTTAAAAGGTTCCTGAATTGACATGTTTTTGCGAAAGGCTAACCGTATCTTCCCATGCACCAGGAAGGCATCTGCTGTATTGCCAAAGTGCCGTTCCGGGGTGCTCCATGTAGTGATGCTGCTGGAAAACAGAAAGCGTACAGCTGGATCATGAAGCAGGTCAACAGCTCGTTGTCAGGCCGCTTGTGGGACGGCAAGCAGCAGGCGCCCAACTTCAATTACATGGTATTATTTTGGCTCTGCTTTAAGGCGTTTTGATTTTGCAGCTTGAAAAAGAACACTTTTATATTTGAAGGTGACACATGGCCAAGGGAAAAAATGACATATGCGGTGTACTCCAGAGTCCCAAACCCATCTCACCGTGCCAATATCTAGCCATAACCTCACTGATAAATAGTGAGTCTCCTCCTGCAACCGTGAAGTCTGCTGGAGTACCAAAACTGACCTGTAGGAGGCGGTACGGTGCTACAGAGCATCCAGACCGTTGGAAAACATAAATAAGAGAGAATATTAGAAGAACAGGCCTTCAGGATAATCTTTCAGAGATATCCAATGATCAGGCCCATGCTGACCTGTGGGTGAAAATAATGATTTTGAGCCTGATTATCAGTGTGTTAGTAGCCTGCTTTAGAAAATACAGTAAAACCTTCCCATTGAACGTTTTCAAGTTAACCACAACCTTTTGCTCTCACTTTGCAGGACCCAGAAGGTCAGATTCACCAGGTTTGGTATGATGACCCGGAGAGTATTTGCCTCAAGACGGACTTTGTTAAATCTAAAGGTTTGAGAGGAGTGGGCATGTGGAACGGCAACATCTTGGACTACAGCGACGATCCGGTTGCTAAGCAGCAGAGCGCAATGATGTGGAACGCTCTCTTTGGATGTTAATTAGTCTAAAGTTTACAGCCCCGAGACATTTACAGCGGCTGCATTGTGGTTGCTAAGTCAACAAGTCCCTTTGTGACGGTAACGCAGTCCCAGTTCTCAGACGCATACTTGCACCTTAGGCCTTATTGTTGCTTTTTTGTTGTAGTTTGGTCTCAGATATTCCACTGGACTGAATGAGTCCACTGTGATTCCCTTTTTGTGTTGTGTTTTGTAATTACGACTGTTGTTGAACTCTGAGATCTGTGTGCTATTCTGCATTTTACACACAACATCCAATAAATGAATGTTACAGCAGAACTTGGATTCAGTCATAAAATATTGAAAATCTCAACATTTCATTTTTTTTGTCATGAACTCAATTACCCTGATTGGGATTTTGAGAAAGCTGATGTTGCTCTGTAGTACCGCAATTTGACAATCGACAATAAAGTTCTAATTTTGCAGAAGTTTATCTCTTTGATTTGATGCATGCGTGTGAAAATTGGTTGGCTCAAATCCCGAGTTGAGAGATAATGTTGATGTCAGTGTAGCGAACACAGTGAAAACGAGCTTGTTATTTGCATCAGAATATGAGCTGCAAGAAGAAAAAAAAAACAGGAGATACATGGCTTATAATGACTGTTTCTTCATTAGACAGATATTTTAAAAACCCCACAAAAGTAAGTGTTACAAAAGGATGCAAATTGGTGGGGGGGAAGAAAATGACGAGTGGAGTTAGGGAACGGATCAGGACAATGTGAATAAGAAATTTGAATAAGAAAAATAGCACTCTATACTTCATTTAAAAAAACAAACTAATAAGAACATTAAATGAATGTAAACAATGAAACAGTTTGTGTATCATGATTATAGCTTGGATTCGTTGGTCTGCATGCCGTGCCCACTTTGGGGCCAGGATACTACAGAAACATGGCACAACTGACAAAGTAAACTGCACTAATGCTAGTCTTTCTTTTTTTTTTTGCTTAGGATAATGTACATATGCATATTTTTAAATTGCCTGTCTACATGTGTTGATGCACAGCTTGTGTTCAAATATCCGCTGCTTAAAGGGTTACAACAATGCAACACCAATGGAACTCGTTCACCAATCTATGTCGTTTTGTATTGTTTGTCAGCATCAAGCCAAATCAACTGTTGTAAGGCAAAGGCTATGTAGTTGTTTTAAACGTGTAATTCTCGACTTTAATGTTAACTTTGACAGTAAACATCAGCCGGTAGTGGCATTCAATAATGCAAAGGCTCTTTTTCTGAGAAATTGGTCAATGTTTCCATCTTAAATTTTTGCTCGCAACCCAAAGCCCCCCAAAAATAATCACATTAATAAAATCACCAGAACGACAGCTCGTATCTCGAGAAACTGGTCAGGTCATTTGTATCTCAGGGCCTTCTCAGTTGGAGTTGTTTTGGATATTTGCTTTGTCTCGCGTGTCGCTCACAAAGCTCAGAGATGCCACCGGCACCTGATGGACTGACTGACTCTTCTTCTGGGCCAGCTCCGCCTTCAGTGCCCTCAGTTCAGTGGCAGCCTGTTTCCTCAGCTACAGCAGCGTTTGTTGGAAGACACGAGATTCAGTGAAGGAACTCCGGCGTTTCACTATACGGCCGACATTTACTTTTGAGATTTACCTTTATCTCCATCAGCAACTTCATCTTGGCGTCTTCCACCTTCCTCTTCAGGTTGTCGATGGCGTGGCTCTCTGTCAGGATCTGAATGATGAGCTCATTCTAAACACACGTGTTGCCAACTTAGGAACGTAGTAAACAATGTAATATTTATCACAATTAATTTGCGCGTACCTTTTCAGAGACTCTTCCTTGCTTTTGCGGCTTGCTTCTGTTATCTCTAGCGTGGAGTTGTTGCAGGAGTTTGTTATAGAATGTCTCCAGTTCTTGCCGCACATTCCTCAGTGCGTCTTCCAAAGGTGCGGTGGCCTTCTTGGTATCAAAGTACTTTTTTTTCCAGCTGTCACGGGCTTACAAAATCAGTGGGGTGGGGGGTTAAGTAAAAAAAAAAAAAAAAAAAAAACCATTTCCAGGTATACAGTCGAGCATTTTAACCTGCTCTTATTGAAGTCAACCCTTGGCAAAGTAACAAATAGTATTTTAGACACAGAGCCTTGCAAATCTTAATGCTCTGAAAAGGTCTTCGTACAAAAGTGGGGTTCCTCAGGGCACAAACAGGGCCGCCAAGTTACCACTAAATATTAAAACACGGGCCACTTCTATGATCATTATCATCAATTTTTTGTCACTAATCAAAATGAAATACAATTATAATGAAAAACAAAACATTTTATCGAACACTTTTTTTACTCCACAATGGTAAATAATTAACTTATTATATATATATACTGTATATTTGCATGTACAAATATTATTTACAAGATAAAGTATTTGATATATATTTTTTAAATTAAAAAAATGATACCATCAAATTATAATATTTTTGTTGATGTCATTGGTTTTACCACATTAAAAAAAAAATTAAATTCATATACGGTATTGAATTTAGATGATATTTTAAAATGTGAAGGAAACTAATTTGTATTTATAATTGAAAATATTTGATATTGTAAATATTGTTTGATTTTAATATTATATTCAACAGCAGTTGATTATTTTATGGCATTTAAAAAACAAACTCAATTTAACATGCTCAGCAAACTGATTTGTGTCATTGTTTACATTCCATTGAGGCCACACTCAATTAAGAAACTTGATAGACTTTGAAAACTTGTTTCATTGGGATTATCTTCTTAAAATTTCCACCACCTTGGTTCCTGCGGTGTCTGTTCTGGGCCAACAAATCTTTCCCTTTCCTTAGCAACTCCTGCCTTTTCCACTCTAATTGCTTCCTTTCCTCCTTCACCAGCTTGATTTCCTCGATGAGCTCTTCTCCTGGAGGAGACAAACATTGTTTCAAATGCGAGGTCAGAATCCTCACGTGAATCGTTTTCCTGACGGGATGGCTTACTATTAGTCGGGATGAAGGCGGAAACAACGGGCTTGTGGGTTGTCATGGTAAGGTCGAGACCAGGAGGGGGAGAGGTGCAGCGGATGGGTCGGGATAACACAACGGGGCTCTCTGTCACCTTCACAAACAAATGGAAACAATGGATTTTCACACATTTGCGTCCACAAAACATCCTGTTTTAAAAGCTGCATTTCAAACTTTACCCCATTCATTGTTTTCATCCCGAGAGACTGAAATGTGTGCACATCGCGTGATTTCCCGAGCCTGAGGATAGAAGAAAAGGACATGTGTCTCAAGTCTCTCGAGAATAGGTTCGGAGTGCACAGCGAAGTGGGAGCTCAGCTCACTGCCTGTCTGATTCTTCATCCTCCATCCACTCCACAGCTCCGGAATCTTTGGCCACTCTGCTTCCTTGCAGGTAATGTTTCTTCTTTCTGCATGTTGTTTCATTCTCCCGAGGATGCTCCTGCACCTGAGCCAAGGCGCCTTTACCCATAGTGCATATCAAGGATTTACTGTACGCATCTATTTTCTTGATATTTTTGGGGAGCAACAACACAAATGTATAACTCATTTTGATTACTATTGTCTATCAGTTGGAATGAAAAACAAATATTTGAAAATAAACAAGGATAAAATTAGCCAGAATCAACACCATTCTCTCTCTCACTCACTCTCTCTCTCTCTCTCTCTCTCTCTCTCTCTCTCTCTCTCTCTCTCTCGCTCTCTCTCTCTCTCTCCATTTTTTTGCTGATTTAAAATGACATGCAGGACAAACATTATGTGAATAACATTGGAATTTTGAGTGAGTTAATTTTGGGGGGAAGAAATGCTCAAAATGAATTATTGCACTGGTTTGCTGTGCAGCGGTTTTGTGCTGTCCTTTAATGGTATTTAATGCACAAGAGCCCTTTGAACCTCTGCTAAAAATCACAGTATGTGTTTTTTTGTTGGGGGGGGTTGGATTGTTGAAACCATTTGGTGGATCTTTTAAAAATGGACCCTCACAAGGGTCGTGAACAACCATCCACGCTCACACTCACACCAAGGGACAATTTCGAGGCTTCCATTAACCTGACAAGCATATTTTTGTAATGTGGGAGTTAAACCGGAGTACCTGGAGAAAATCCACGTGGGGACATGGGGAGAACATGCAAGCTCTGCACAGGAAGATCGGAGCTGGAATTGAACCTGGTACCTCTGTACTGTGAGGTCGACGTGCTAACCAGTCGACCACCATTCTGGCACTCTAATAGGTAAGCTTCCACAAAAGTACCAAAAAGTTGCCTTGAATCTTTACTACAAATGTCAAAGAAAAAACATTTCTTTTTACCTTTATTACGAGCTTGATTGTTGGACTTTCTCTGGTCATGCTCCTCTCTCTCGTGCCTCTCGATTTTACTGCCAGAGAGACGCTGCTCCTCTTCTCCACCGTGTCCTCCCACTGAGGAGCTGTAACCCTGCTCTTCCTCATCGTCCTCCTCCTCCTCCTCCAAGCTCGAGGTGGGAACAAGCTGGTGGGAAGACTGGGCGATGTGGGGGAACTTCAAAGGCTCTTTCGTCTCGGCTGGCGAGCTCCATGTCTTGAGGGGGTAGTAGGTTGGTGGGTCCAAGGAACTGCTGCTGGTGTCTGGGCTGAGCAAATTGGAGGAAAGGCTGCTCTCGTTCTCCACTGAGGGCAGCAGGTAAAGCTCCGGCTGGGCAGTCTGGAAACACAAAGATAGTAATAACCTAATTTAGTAGAACAGAAGGAAGTTAACATTTTTTTCTTGATTGTTTTTATAACATTTTTTTTAAATTAGTTTGGCATTATGGACTTCGCCAAGTCGACTACACACACCTTCATATATTTATTTTTTTGAATGCTCTGAAACTCCATTTCAAATGGCTTTGGGGGGAAAAAAAAGAAATTTGGCAAAATACCAGCAATAACAAATGCAAAATATGGGCACAAAAGATAAAAGACTGAGGTAACCACGTGAACTGATGGTGGCCAGATGTTGTGAAATTTCATCATGTGCAGAGGTAATAATCACGATCAGGGATTGTTCAAAAGGCAAAAAATATGGATATGACTCGTCGTGTTATACATACATACGGTGGGGCGAATGTTTTCGCTTTCAAATCCTTCTCCTGCTTGCTTTTGACCTGACACGCAACAGATAAAAGCAACGGTTAAAAAAAGATGTTAGGCCCCAAACGCAGACTGATTGGCACCTGTAACTACCGTTGCGTCATGTGACATCATCTGGACTCACCAGAGCCAAGCTGCGGCCCACACACTTCAGGAAGGAGAATTTGTCCAAGCTCCTCTCTGTGCCCAGAAGCTCCCCCAGTTCACTCCTCAGAGCTTTCAGGGTGACCTCAGGGTAAACTCTAAATTTGCAACATTTGTTTTACAGCACACACATGGGACTGACAATAACCACATTAGTCTGGGTTCCTTCAAGAAAAGTTGCAATTTTTTTGAAGCTGAAATGATTTTTAAACGTATGTTTTAGTGAATTGGAAATACAACAAAATACAGCATTTGGCATTCATGTGTACTGCAGATGTAGGCCCGGAAATGCACACAGGGAGATAGAGGGGGAGAATGAGTGAGAACAGAATAAAGTCACCCCACCAAATTGGGACAAAATCTTTTTTTTCACCTGCCTGCCATATTTTGATACCTTCCATCATTTTTACTCTTAATGTGTGGGATTTTTTTTTGAAACAAACATAACATTTTGACTTGATTTTCCTAACCTTTTTCTTAAAACTCAAAATACTGACATTGTTTATTCTGTCCCCTGACTTTTCACTATTTCTCAAAACAAGCGACAGCAAACTGCTTTTGCAGTTTTCATAGTCAAGTTGAATAATGAAAAATAAGTCAATTGTAAAAGTCAGAGAGTTTTTAACACTGATGGACTATATTGGGTTTGGTGATGTTCAGTCACAACCATTAGAATACTCGTGGCATGTTTCACAGTTAATTTGATAAACAGCAATGTGACAATTAAAATTGTGATGCTCCTGTCCACATTTGTTCAGGAATGTTGCTGCCCCTTTTGGGAGATGGAATTCATTAGATTTCAAAGCTGAATAATAATAAAAGAAAATACAAAATGTGACCAATAGTATTTGTGGATGCTTTCATTTCACGAATTTTCTCTCGATTCCATGCAAAAAAAAAAAAAAAAAAAAAAAAAAACAACAACAAATGTGCCCTGATGAAGCCTGCCGATATGAAACTCTCCGTGGCTTCTGCAGGAACTTTGTTCAGCTTCACATTCCACTGGTCGTCCGGCACATAGAGAACATGGAGCTCCACGAACTGAACACACACACACACACACACACACACACACACACACACACACACACACACACACACACACACACACACACACACTAAACAATGAAATAGTGCAGTCAGAGATCATTTGTCTTTCATGCATTGTGAACATACCTTGCAACTGATTGGTCTCCTATCCGCGGTATAAGCAGATTCACACGACAGCTCCATCTTCATCAGTCCAGTCATGCACATGCGTGCTCCTTGCACAAAGAAACGCCGCGTTTTGGTGACGCGTCGTTTGAGCCGGCGGAGGCGTGGACAGTTGTGAGATGACTTGACGCAATAGTGGCTCCACACATACTCAAGATTCTTTTATGAGGGTGCCAGCATCGGTTGCTTTGGTTGCAGAGGTAACAAAAGTAGCTACACTCTCTGTACGAAAGTAGGAGTACTGATTAGATGCTTTTACTTCAGTAAAATAAAGTACAGGACTATGTTGACAAAGTAAGGAGAAGAAAGTACAGACACAATGGCCATAAAAAGTCTACACACCCCTGTTCAAATGCCAGGTTTTGTTATAAAAGATGAGACTAAGATAATTAATTTCAAAGTTTTACCACCATTAATCGGACCTACTGTATAAACCGCACAACTTAAAAAGAAACTCCTTTAAGGAGAGTAATTAGAAAAACAACAACAAAAATTTACATTGTCTGGTTTCATAATTAAATTCAAACTAATACTTTGTTGGCGCACTCAGTCTCTTGAGTAGGAGTCTATCAGTATGGCCACTTTACAAAAACACAGCCCTCTTCAGATCGTCCCATAGATGTTGGATAGTGCTCCAGCACGGCTGCGAGCCTCGTGAAGCTAAGTGGACCAGATAATGGCTGGATGATTCTATTTGCACAACAATAATAGGAGCCTGTCCCTGTGAAATGTAAACCTCATCTCTGCAAATTGCGATACTAATGTAACCAAGCAGAAAAGATACACCTGCGATTCCACATTGGGGTTAAAGGTCAAATTAGTGGTGGGGAAAATTTTTGAAATGATTTCGCTTGGTTTCAATTTTTTATTCATCACAAAAAACTGAGGGGGGGGTCTTTTTAATACACTGTTTGTTTTTCAATGCTGTGAGTAAACCTAAAAATACGTCAGAAAAATAAATACTTTGGGGTAAGTACAGATAACTGAAAGATCGACTTAAGTACAGCAACGAAGAACAGTAGTTGTACTGTCCTTCCCACCACACTGGTTGTTGCTGGTTGAGGCTTCACCAGTTTTAAATGAATCATTAATGCAACAGTAAATACTGCGCATTTCTTAAATGACTCCCTAATTATTCACTAAGACTTTGTAAAGTGTAAACACACATTTAACACAGGATTGGTGAGATTAAGTCATTAGTAATGTCCTGTACGCTGTGAAATTCTGTCGCTATTTCTACCACCAGAGGCAGCAATTGTCGTCCCATTTCAAAGTGTGGCGTTCACGTATGTATGGAATTGCAGTAATTATTTTAGACGCGTACTATCACCTTCTTTGAAAAAAAAAACAAAAAACGATGATCATAGTGAAATAAATTTAACGACAGAGTACACATACCGAACGACAATCTTTGTCAATGATGACTTCCGGTGTTTTTGTCAACGAGAATGGTGGCAATTCCAACAAAATTTTAAAACTATGAAGGCAACACTAAAAAGTCCGCCTCCCAACAATAACCGGAAGTGTATTCGTCGCTCGGTTGCCAACAAGTTTTGGAACTAAATTTAACCACATTTTCCGACACTAAAACCGATCAATACAGAATAAACAATGTCGGGGCAATCCAGCATCGTAGCGATGAAGAAAATTGTCCAACAACTTCGTTTTGAAGCGGGAATAAACCGAGTAAAGGTAAAAACGGAGCCCAACGGTAGTTGTAGGGGCGTTTCTCGAGTTCTTATTTCGCTTCGACTACAGATTCCGTTGTTCTGACGCTGATTACTTAATATCCATTTTGGTTCTGATCAGGTATCTTTGGCCGCGGCTGACATGCAGCAGTTTTGTCTTCAGAACGCCCAGCATGACCCGCTGCTAACCGGTATGTCGTCCAGTAACAACCCGTTCAGACCGCAGAAAGTCTGCTCCTTCCTATAGCAGCGACGCCTTGGCCCTTGTAAGTCCCACTCAGCCTTCTTTCAACATGGAATAATCTTTTTCCAAGTACGTATTCACGTTTGCGATCTTTTTACAGGTCTTCGGGGTTCGCCTCGACTCGAATCGCCTCAGGAGTGTTCGGGAAAATTGCAACCTAGGTTTTTTTTTTTTTTTTACATTTGTAAAAATTTCACCAGTAAACATTTCCAGGTGCTTACGAGACATTTTTCACAATTTTATGCATGATTAACAGCAATTTACTTGGTTTACGGTGGTAACATCAGTTCCAAATGTTGTTATAGCCAAGCGCAACCTTAGCGAGGGCAGTCAAGTCATAATTACGGTAAATATTTGCATGAAAAACAGGTCTAGCCTACAAATATAAAAACAAATTAAAAATGGTCATTAGAACAATCACGGAAGAGGCCCTCTTGGGCCGCGTGACCTTGTATTCTTACATGTCATATGTAACCTTGCAATGTCATAATTACAGTAAATATTTGTATGTAAGACTCGTTGGCCATAAATGTAAAACCATAATAAAAAAACAAAAACAAAACCTAATAAAGTGAGTATGCCTTTAGGTCGCTGAGATTCTTCAATTGCCTTGCAGGTTGTAACCTCAATGTCACTGGGTTGTAAACATCATGAATTGTGAACCTTCTGTACTTAAAAAAAAAAAAAAAAAAATACCCTGTACTAACCATACCCCCCCTCCCCCATGACTTGTTTATTGTGCAGTTGTCATGGCTGGCAAAGAATAAACACATTTAGCTGTTGGTCTCTAAAAATTATATTTTCATAAATGTTTTGCAACCAACATAAATCAGAACTCACCACTCGAACAGCTATCTCCAAATCTGTACTTACGATTGTTCATGTGTGAGTCTAACAAACGTAGAGTATACAACAGCAACACGTGCTGTCTCACAAGAGTTATAAACAGTTGTAATACACAATATAGATACTTTATTAATCCAGAGGGAAATGACCCGATGTAATGTTTGCTATTTTGTGACATGGTTGAAGCAAGGAGACCCCTTTTCAAAAGGGTCTGAACATCTGTAAAATATCATTCACACATTGTTCCGTGTTTAAAAGCACAAACAACAAAATCTGTTTTTTCTGTACTGGGTTTGCGATCAAGACTAACTGTCTAACACAAAGTCTCAAGATCCACAATAAACACAATATAGTCATTTTGAATGAAACCACAACCTGTGGGATTAACGGGGGTCCTTGCATAATTACAGGAGAGATGATTTTCCCTTCACAATTGAAATTTACGCCTGCAGGCATCCACTTCATGGCGCTACAAACAGAAGGAAAACATATTAGTGATAAGGCCGAACAATAACGTGTGGTGCTCATATGTGAAGCACAACTACATTTGTATGTGTACCCTTGTTGATAAGTAATAAAGGTTATCATAGATCTTCCACAGGCATTTGATTTAACTGATAACTCAACTTTCAAACAACCAGCGCTGTATATGAAGTGGTGTACATGGAGCAAAAATAAATCATACAATAACAAACAATAAAACAGTAAATGAATACCGGGTAATGAAGGTGGTAATGTTTAAACAAAATGTTGCTTTGTTTCATTGAGTGAAGCAGCAGCATAAAGGTAGACAAGTAAAGTTACATTAACTGTATAACAAGGTGGAAGCAGGGAACTGCCATAGTTGATGTGGCCTATATTAATGAGATGAAATGAAGATGCTCTCACCTTGAGGACCCACTCATACTCGCCAAACTTTGAATCAAAGGTGCCTTTCTGTAGAGAGCGAAGCTTCAGAGTGAAGCGAGGACCCAATTCCTGAATGCCGGCCTTCTTCTCATTCTTGAAGATGTATCTTGACATACACAATTATCATTGGAAAAGCGGCCTTGGTGACTGGGTGTGTACTTTCTTATCAGACGCTCACCTGTGAAATCGGAAAAAGATGAAGTCTCTCTGGTTGTGGAAGGTGGCCACTTGCCGACCCACAAACTGGGGGTTTTGAGGGAAAAGAGCAGCAAACATCCGGCCAATGCTGTGGCCCAAACGTGTGGTGAAGTTGTTCAAGATCACCTCAGGGGTGTGCTCTGTTGGCTCCTTACCTCGTCGCTGTGGTCACAAAACAGCACAATCGCGTTGGGAAAATACACACTCTCCAATTGCGCCCAACAGTAGCCGCAATGATAGAACCATCAAGCAACTTGGCCAGGAAGAACATGATAATTTTACAAACGATTAAAAAAAAAAAAAACTATTTCTAACAATTTGTATCAAGTCTCTATGACAGGGGTGTCAAACTCATTTTTGTCGCAGGCCACTTTGAAGTTACGTCTTCCCTCGGAGGGCCGTTAGGACAGTGAAACCACAAAAATGTTTCATCATCTTATCGCATTATTACTTGTACACAACAGATGAATAGATTACTAGTTTTGAAATCAGTCAACTATAATAGTTTGTTAAATAATTGCTTAAGTGAGTGTAAACGGGGAAACAAAATTTTTGCATAATCTACACATGAAAATTTCGGTTTCGCAAAGACACTTGATTTGGTTTCGCGGGGGCCACATAAAATGACGCGGCGGGCCGTATCTGCCCCCCGGGCCTTGAGTTTGACATCTGTGCTCTATGCAGTCCAGACGATATTACCGCCTAACGCTGAAATATAAACCACTTGCCTTCATCTCCTTCCGTAGTCGAACACTGCTGACCTTGAAGTGTGCAGTGGGCCCTTCAGGCAGGTGACAAAGAACCAAGCCATCTTAGAGCTGGAGTTAAGAAAGCTGAAAAGAGCTCCATTAGACACATGGAATACTTTTTTTATCCTCTGGTTCTCCAGGGCATGTTTACGCACTAATGACAGTGAAACTAATGTGTTTTTACGAGGGCGTTTTGTTGAAGTTTTACATATATGCGACATTATTGTCAAAACAGGAATATGAACATGGAAAAAACGGCAACTTCATCCTTTTGGCCTTAATGCACTCGTAAAGGGGAAACAAATTGCAGAAATGACAAAATTATCAATTTTTGATCTTGTGTAAAAGAAGGGCTTGGTCTTAGCAGTCTGGATTCTTTGTCCTTTTCTAATAAAAAGCGCATGCATTAGGAACGTCGCTCCGGAGAGAGGATACTTGGCACTTTGCGGTCCTCGTTGATGACGATGAGGTAAGTGAAGTCTCTGGCGACACATTGGGGAATGATCCTCTTGAGGGCCAAGCCTCTTCTATAGTAGACGTGAGCGTTTGGGATCACAGTGGCCAACTGCCTGCAGAACTTCACCGTCCTCTGTGAGAAACATGGGAGTATCATTTCGCGTTTGAAAAACAAAATTGGTGTTCAAACAAAGCACTAATTTGCGCTCACCCCCCTGGGTCTGTCCGACGTTGTGATGAGCACTTTGGGGTTCGTCAGCCCGTTGAAGTAGGCAGAAAATTCATCTGTTGCCTCATCGAACGCAACCTAGACGAGACTCAAAACGACAGGGATGAAGCCAAATTCATCCTATCGCCTATCAAGAGATGACTAAAAGAATCATGACGACACCTCTTCATCTTCCGGATCAACTGTCGTTTCGTCATACACTCGCTGGTTTTCTATCGTCTTGGGAACTTGCTTAGGCGGGGCCTTCAAAAGAAAGAATTAAAAATAGCACCAAACATCAATTACCTTACTATTACCACTTGTTTAAATTTATGTACATTCTTTAAAAAACATTTTATCCCTACACATTTAAACACCCATTTCCCATTTTCAATAACAATTTTGAGCAACATACAGCTCTGCTATGAACACTTAATAATTATTTCACACAAAAAACAGAACATGTTCATAGGTTAATTTCCAAATAAACTACATTACTAAGCATTAATGCTGTTTTGTGAAATAATTCGAAGTACGTAATAAGCTTTTACTCCGAGCACATTTTTTCCAAGCAACATTATAAACCCTCAAACACGGAAGAATTATTCTTCAACTACAATAATAGAAGAAGCAAAAACTCACCTTGCTCCCCAACATTTTTTCTTGTCTTTTCCTCTTTTTCTTGAGCTCCATTTTTTGCTGAAATACAAAGACAAAAACATATTAGCACTTACGTGACTGATAAAGATAACCGGCAATGTTATTAAAAGGGTGAAAGAACGTCAACATACAGCTTCACCCATCCTCATGGAATGTTATATTTAGTTACTGGACAATTGGCTAAGTCTCACTCATAGTTTCACGCCTCACAACAGCTTCATTAATTAGCATTTTTGTATAGTTTTACCCGAGTCATTATTCTTACGTAACAGTAATCTTGAATATATATAGCGTTCACGTTACTTGTACGTTCTTTTCCCTCACGGCAAATCTATTTATCATAATTGTCAAGGCCTGCTTGAACACCGGCGATGTGACAACAAGCGATGGAGTCGTGTTCAGGACTTTACCTTTCTTTTATCCTGCTTTAGTTTCAAAAACATTAAGTGTCGTCGCTGTTTATTCTTGATGTCTGATACGCTGAACGCCGGTGGGAAACTGACGGTCTCCTCCGTCTTCTCTTCTTTCACCTCCACGTCGGTTTCCATCTTGGCTGGTTGTTCCGTGGTCTTTGTTTTATCACTTTTATTCTTCTTTTTCTTGCCTTTACCTTTCTGCGTCACGGGAACTTCGGTGATATCCATCCTCTCCCAGCAGTGTTTACGAAGACGACGAGTGTCCTACTTCACGTGCGTGGCTATTGCTGCTTCCGCTCCTTCCGTTCTTCATTTCCGGTTCACACGATTTGTTCACTTGTTGAACACATACATCCCCTAATGGCGAGGAGGACGTAAAAAAAACCGAATGAACTGGGAGAATCAGTTTCACAAAATTAGATACAGTACCTGTATTCAAATAATACAGGGGCGGTGAAAAAAGTAGGCATACATCGAATGAACTAGGAGAATCAGTTTCAATAAATTTGATATTCAAATAATACAAAGGCGGTGAGAAAAAGTAGGCATACAGTAGTATCTTTTCTTTAAATATATTTAAAACTATTTTTAATTGTAATCATTTTAAAATATATTGTTCGAGTATTTCAAAAATAAAACAAAAAAAGATAAAAAATAAAATAAAAAGACAAAGTTACTACTGTATTCCTATTTTTGCACTTTCCTGTACAACACTGTAATCAAGTTGACCTTTAATGTGACAGTGCCATGTGAGCCTCTCACCGCCTGATGACCCACCAATTGGTCTCCCAGAAAACTATTTTTGTCACGTAAGGCAAATTAATAACCAACGTCGAAGTGTGCAAAGACATACACATTTCAGATTCCTTGCTAAAACATGCATGAAAAAGTATATGACTGTATGGGATAATCATCATTTATTATTCATTGTTAAGTACACTGTTCATTGAATTGATCATTGATGAATCACATTTTGAAGCAAGAGGCAAAATAAAGTGCACTACTTGACTGCAAACAGTGGAGGTGCTCTTGACTCAGTTTGTCACAAAAACAAAAAACAAAAACACAATGTTGACTAAGGGGAGCTAGCAACCACAATATGGCAATATTCAGCTTAATACCACAACTGCGTGAACGCAGGACGTCACACCCTTTAGAAACTTTTCCTTCATTTCAAAACAATATTAAAAATCAATCGATCAATTCACAGAGCAAGCTCAACAGTAGGAAAGTGAGGGATAGATTAACTGGTAGGTCATAATTCCGACAGACCATCAACGACATCTAGAGAAACATCTGTTCGATAACAATCAAAAGAATACAAAGTTCAGCATCCAATGTACCAGTCCACCACCTGCCTGAAAGCCTTGTAAATCAAAGTGTTGTAGGAGCACAGTAGCCCCCCACCGCGCCACATTTGGAATACCTCCCTGTTCAGGTCTCCCAAGCAGGTCAAGTGCTTCTGATAAGCCCACGATATGCACCACTTGGAGTGATCGTACTTAGAATGGAATGGGACGGATCCGGGAAGACGGATCCTCTTTATGTTCATGACGTGATTGGGCAGGGAGCAATTGGAAGGCAGGTCATGGCCTTGTCTCTGCCAGGTCTCGACCAGCAAGTTCACATTCAGAACTTGAGCCACCCAGCCAGTGTAGATGTCTGGATGAAGGACAGTGAGAAATGAATTCAGTTTCCCCCCATTTTCCCCTCATCATTTTCTGAACCCCTAACTGTACAGTATATGGCACGGCATGATTCAATTAATACTGTTTAAAAAGCTCATGTGTTAGAAATTGCATTCATGTAATCATGCATTTGACAATACTAATATTTGAAAACTACAAAAAAACATAAACTTAATGATGACGACACATTTGGTAGCGAATGGTGCCTTTGACATCTTAGCGTTGCAAGGGCAGGGTGAGGTTGATTCTATCTGTAGTATGGCGATCGCGTTTCTGCACTTGATCATAGGGCACTGATAATTCTTACATGTGAACAAATTGTTGGTACCCCACTGTTAAATAAGGAGACAGCTACGACGATCACTAAAAATAGATTGAAACTGACAACAGTAATAAAAAGAAATGACTGAAAATTAACCAATGAAAACCAGGCGTTGTTTTATGTTTGTGGTCCAACAGTATTATCTAAAATAATATTAGCAATAATAAGAAATAAGACATTCTCAGGTTTGAAGAGTGCCTTATCCAGACTGAATGTTTGAGGGGTACAAACAATTGCATCCACATGTATGTCTTAAGTTAAACAAACAACAAAAAAAACAAAAGAACTGCAGTTCTCTGATTTTAGTGTGCAAAAGAAATAAAATATACATAAAACTGACCAAGAAAATTACCTTACCATCCACAAAACGTTCAGATTTGGCAAAAGTGAAAAACATCTCTCCCTGTAGGGAGACGAGCTGGTCCATCTTCTTATCTGAAAGCGCTTCCGGCCTATGGCCAGCACATAACTGGGCCAGCTGAGGCAGTTTGGTAGCAAATGCGGAGGGGACAGAGCAGTTGTAAAGCCGTGGGAAAAGATACACCAGATGCTGTGCTGTCATTGGGGAAAATCAGAGATAACCAGCATTAGAAAAAACAAATAATTTAGAAGAGAGAAAACATTAAGAGTGTGTGCATGCGTTTGAATACAGCAACAAAATTGTACTTAGTTTTCAAACTCATGTATTCTTTTGATATCAGTTGATCTATTTTGCATCTCAAAGTTTTAATTGGCCATAATCAATAAACATATCACATACCAAATTGACTTTCTGTAGACATCATGATTATCATCCCCCGTAATGATTCACATTTTTGAAGTGCTAAATATGAGTGAAACCCAACAAACTTTGCATACACATTGGACCTGGTGAAAAAATTTGATATTTTAATGTACCCAGTATTTATTTACAACTGACTGAACCTGTGTGTGTGCGTGTGCGTGTGTGTATTCATTGTTTTGCATTGTAGACAAGAGAAGGCCTTCTCTTTGTTCAGGGATCACTCACTGATATGGAGGAACTGGTCATAGTGGAGGCTCACACACAAAGCTGTCTGCCCGTTGACTTTGCCAGAGGATGGGTAGAGGTAACCCATCTCTGGGAATGAAGGAAAATGGGGGATGCTGTGGGACAGCCAGAAGCCCTGGTATAAGTCAAATAGCAGTACCCCTGTTGGAAGGCAGAAAAAAGACAACAACTCTAAACATAGGTACAGATCGTAAACACGCAAAGGAAGCAAACACTTTCATCCAAGTGTGTCAACCATCGGCATGTCTCGCCCATTTTGGGGTTGCTCAAGCACCACTAAAATAAATCCAAGCAACCCCCAAATTTTAAAGCGGTTCGGAAAATGAATGAATGAATGATTAGAGGAATATAAGAAAAGCCCTTCAACACTGACAGGGTTGAATGTTTATTGTGTTTAAAGTTACATTGCCAAGGGCAGAGCGATTAGTCCAGTCCGGTTGACCAGTTTAATTTTGTGGCTCAGGTACACACTGTAGCCTGGTCTAAAATTCCCCTCTGGCCTTGCATAATATACTGTCTATCGGTCATGTTGGTCCAGTCCAGGCTGATGACTGCATGTCCTGCAGTGACCCCAGGGAAGTGGTTGTCCCAGCTTATACTTTATTGTAGCACCAGAATCTGTGATAACCTGTTTCAAATTTGCATCGAAATGTAAAGATCACATTAATGATCACATGGCTGACAACAATATGGTCATTTTGTATGCACCACTTATGAAAACAGCCTTTTGTCTTACAAATCACAACACTACAATTTTAGAGGTTAAAAAACAGCTGATGTTACAGCTGGTTAGGTAACAAGCCAAATAGCTCAACATTTAGCTAGGGTAACGAAAACATATTCAAACATTAACGTTAGAAAATCTAACAGGAAATAAAACAGTGTGCCATGTACCTTGAATGAGCTGTCATCTGCCTCTGCCTTAAAAATGACTTCCAACAGGTGTGGTGTTAGTACTGTGCCTTAAAGACCTGGTCATTGCCCAAATACCACATTAAGTCTATCGGTGATTGGGGCCAAAATGTCTTGCATCAGAAAAAAAAAGAAAAGAAAAAGAAAAAAAATCCATTTTAGCTTCATGACTTATTTTAGCACATTTCGGACGACCATTCAGTTGCCTGTGTCTGTCTCTCCAGTTGACACTTTCATATAATTTGATTAAGGGGGAAAATGTTTGTAAAACATTTCTTTTTCAAATTGTGCAACTTTTTTTTTAATGCCACCTTGGTTTAATATGGGTAAATGTGAAACAGCCAAGATTGAAGTCCTATGCTTCAAAAGGTTATTCATTTTAAATTATAGGCCACAATAGTAAAGACACGAGAGAGAAATACACTGCAGCTCAGGGCAGATGTAATCTGAACAAGAACTTTTAAATTGTACGGGAAAAATCAGAAACAATGATCACAATTTAAATATTGTCACACCTTTGTTGATAGAACCCACTGACCAAGCAAATGATGGTGGCCCACTGAAATACACTTCCTGATATCAATATATCAATAATGACAAAAGCGCATAATTGGTGAATACAGAAAGTGGATGGATGGATTGACATAAACAGCTTCAAAGCAACCACATTTCGATGCTTTGCAAACTCTGCAGATGACAGTGTACGAATGATCCTTAACTATCCATTACACCTTTGTCCCTATACATTCATAAAAACTGTAAAAGACATGCAATTGCTCCGACACTTTCACAAATTCATCAATACCTCTGAAATAACACCTGTTTTATGAGTCTGCTGTTTGTTGAATGCAAAATGGCTGCCACATTCTGGTACTTCACATCACAAATCCCTCTAGTGTATTGCAACAGCATTATGAGGCTACCTCCAGTGGCATGAAAAGATAAGGCAAAAAGATGAACCATTTGTAAAAAAGAATCCCGTCAAAAAAGTCGGACGAAATAAAACGAGTCATCATCTAATCAGTTATGTTCAGCATGGTAGAACAAAATTCCCGAACCTATAGTCCACATGGTCGAGTAAATACAGTAAATTACCCCCGAACTACATTTAGAACCCTATTAACACAACTGGGATACAATAATCCTCAAAATGATACAAGCTACTACAGACAGTTCCTGTAGTTGAGATGTGGCAACATTTAGAGGCATTTACATCACCTATTGAACAGCACCCACTCGGACATTCGCCCCAGAAGATCATAGCTTCTTGACTACTGTACCTTTGGTGTGTCCATATCCTCGGAGGTATTTGAGGACAGGCGGTGAATCATTGTAGAGGGCATAAGCAGAGCTGCTGGACTGAGGAAAACAGAGCACACTTTCAGAATATCAAAATATAAGTCCAAATCCTGCTTAAACACTGTCGATAAATTCAGATGCGGTATTTCATTACAGACACTGAAAACATGCACAATTATGCTGAAAGCAAACGGTACAAAGAAGTGCCACTTTACAGCAGAAGCTACAGTTTCCTGTTGAAAAAAAACAAAGCTTCCTCCAAGATATAAAAGTGGTGCTTGAGTGGATAATGCAGGAGAACGAGATAATTACAAGCATCACCTTGTTAATGGCTTTGCTGTAAAGCTGGCTGAGGGTGTTTCCAATGGCTCCTTGACTAGTGTTAATCATGAATTTACTAAGTTGCCAGGTCTCAAGCGAGGGGTCCAGGTACATGTAGTCCACACCACTGCCCACTTCACCAATTTTGTATGTTGGCAGCTTGTAGATGATGAACCTGCAGCAGATCAGACGGTGAATTCATGCCAAAACGTTGCAGATATGTAAAACATGAAACGCATCGAGTGACGTTTACTATTCTTGTCTGAATGCATGAATCAGCTCACCAGTCGACAGGCTCGCCAGCTTCATTCTGACAGGAAATAGCAGTATCACACACAGTGAAAGCAAAAAGCACAAAAACACTTAATGCTAAGGCCATTGAGACCTGTAGGTGTCTACAGCTGAGTGGATCCCAAAAAACAAGTTTCAACCTCTTCTGTACCGATGACCGTTGAGTACCCATTTTGAAAGTGGTCAGTGCACAGTCACAATGCAAAAAAGGAAGTGATGCGATAGAGTCTCATGACAGCGTTTTGGCTGAGTCTGTCATAGTTTTAACGCTCTGGGAGGTGTTTACAACACTTCATTAGTATCTGTGAATTTTTTTTTTCTAAAATAGAGCTTTGGCTGTTGCTGACGATAATGTATCCCATTGGGCATCTTCCAATTGTTTATGCATTTAAGTATCATGCGGTGCTTTGGGGTTGGAAAATGTCTGGTAAATTTCCCAAAACTTTTGATGTGAAGATTAGCTGCAGAACATTTAAAAGTTTTGACTTTTAACAAAGTGTTAGCACAAATCACAGTAGCTTGAATTGTGATGCTAATTTATACAAACTGGATTTTACACAAATATAACATTGAACACTTTGTTTTGTAGATCTGCTTAAACATGATTTCAAAAGAAATTTTACATATGAGTGACACCTTTATATCTAGGTTAAAAAAAAAGCAGGGTCAGGTTAATTGGTTGCTGTAATTTTTCGGGAAATGTACCGTACCGGTAATCCATTGTGATCCTTTTGAGTATAAAGCAGTACAGAAAATGAATGGATGGACCCCGATTCCGATTAAGTTTGGCTGTTGTGTAAAATCTAAATAATTTGCAAATCCTTTTCAAACTCTATTTAATTGAATACACTGCAAAGATAAGATATTTAATATTCAAGCTAATAAACCTTATCTTATTTTTGGGGAGTGGTGGGGGGCAAATATTCACACATTTAGATTTTTAGATGCCTGCAACACATTCCCAAAAACTGAGATAGAGACCTCTTTGCCACTGTGTTAAATCACGTTTACTGTTAACGCCACTCAATGAGCGTTTGGGAACTGAGGACACTTAAATTGTAGGTGAAATTCCTTCCCATTCTAGCTTGAAGTACAACTCAGTTTGCTCAACAGTACGAGGGCTCCATTCTCATAGTTTTCACATTTTCATTGGAGACAGGTGTGGACTGCTGGCAGGCCAGTCCAGTTCTCAAACTTACTTACTATGAAGCCATGTGGTGGTAACAAGTGCAGAGTGTAGCTTGACATTATCTTGCTGTAACAAGCAGAAATGTTTCTCAAAAATGCGTTGATTGGATGGCAGCATATGTTGCTCCAAAACCTGTATGTACCTTTCAGCAGTAATGGTACCTCCACCGATGTGCAAATTACCCACGTCATTGGCACAAGCACACTGAACTTTGCGCTAATAACAATCAGGATGTCCCATTTTCTCTTCGGCCCTAAGGACACGAAATTCATGATTTCCAAAAACAACTTCAAATGTAGACTCGTCAGACTACAACACACTTTCCCACTTTGCAACAGTCCATCTCAGATGAGCTTGGGCCCACAGAAGCCAGCAGCATTTCTGGGTGTTGTTTATTTATGGCTTTTGTTTTGCTTAGTAGAATTTTTACTTGCACTTGTAGGTGTGGAGACAAACTACCTGAACTGACAATGGTTAGCTGAAGTGTTCCTAGAACCCAGGTGGCAATATCTTTTGACACAATGAGGCCGGTTTTTAATGCAGTGCCGCCTGAGGGGTTGAAGGTCATGGGCATTCAATGGTAGTTTTCAGCCTTGCCGTTTATGTGCAGAGATTTCTCCATATTACCGTAATCTTTTGTTGATTAAATTACTAAATTCATTGGAACAGTACATTGGGAAATATTCGTAAACTGTTGGACGCAGTACAGAAAATGAATGGATGGACCCCGATTCCGATTAAGTTTGGCTGTTGTGTAAAATCTAAATAATTTGCAAATCCTTTTCAAACTCTATTTAATTGAATACACTGCAAAGATAAGATATTTAATATTCAAGCTAATAAACCTTATCTTATTTTTGGGGAGTGGTGGGGGGCAAATATTCACACATTTAGATTTTTAGATGCCTGCAACACATTCCCAAAAACTGAGATAGAGACCTCTTTGCCACTGTGTTAAATCACGTTTACTGTTAACGCCACTCAATGAGCGTTTGGGAACTGAGGACACTTAAATTGTAGGTGAAATTCCTTCCCATTCTAGCTTGAAGTACAACTCAGTTTGCTCAACAGTACGAGGGCTCCATTCTCATAGTTTTCACATTTTCATTGGAGACAGGTGTGGACTGCTGGCAGGCCAGTCCAGTTCTCAAACTTACTTACTATGAAGCCATGTGGTGGTAACAAGTGCAGAGTGTAGCTTGACATTATCTTGCTGTAACAAGCAGAAATGTTTCTCAAAAATGCGTTGATTGGATGGCAGCATATGTTGCTCCAAAACCTGTATGTACCTTTCAGCAGTAATGGTACCTCCACCGATGTGCAAATTACCCACGTCATTGGCACAAGCACACTGAACTTTGCGCTAATAACAATCAGGATGTCCCATTTTCTCTTCGGCCCTAAGGACACGAAATTCATGATTTCCAAAAACAACTTCAAATGTAGACTCGTCAGACTACAACACACTTTCCCACTTTGCAACAGTCCATCTCAGATGAGCTTGGGCCCACAGAAGCCAGCAGCATTTCTGGGTGTTGTTTATTTATGGCTTTTGTTTTGCTTAGTAGAATTTTTACTTGCACTTGTAGGTGTGGAGACAAACTACCTGAACTGACAATGGTTAGCTGAAGTGTTCCTAGAACCCAGGTGGCAATATCTTTTGACACAATGAGGCCGGTTTTTAATGCAGTGCCGCCTGAGGGGTTGAAGGTCATGGGCATTCAATGGTAGTTTTCAGCCTTGCCGTTTATGTGCAGAGATTTCTCCATATTACCGTAATCTTTTGTTGATTAAATTACTAAATTCATTGGAACAGTACATTGGGAAATATTCGTAAACTGTTGGACTATTTACTAATGCAGTTGTTCAAAAAGTAGTGAACCTTACCCCATCTTCGCCTTTGAACAACTGAGCCTTTCGGGGTTGCTCTTTTTACTCCCGATCATGACACTCACATGTTTCCAATTAAACTGTTCACCTGTGGAAATGTGGAATCCAAACAGGTGGGGGCAGGGGGGTTGAGTACTGCTCAACTAAACACCCTCTATTGTTTCCCTTCTCCCAGCTTTGTAGGAATGTGTTGCAGGCATGAAATTCAAAATGAGCGCATTTTTGCACAGAAAAACAAAAATGTTCATCAGTTGGTACTTCAAATATCTTGTCTTTGTAGTATATTCAATTAAATATTAGTTGAAAATGATTTTCAAATGATTGTATTTTAAGTCTTTATTTAGATCTTACACAACTTACACGACTTCATTGGAATGATGGTATGCATTTCCGGAAAAGGAACAATACCATAGATATTTGACGACTGTCCTGGATCACTGAGGGGTGATCAGCCATGTACTTCTTTGTTCACTTACTAATTGGCAATAATGGATTCCTCTCATATTCCAAAAATGTGTATGTTTAGTTGAATTGAATACAAATTGTGCAGAGGTGTTTACGTGACTGTGATTATTTGTTTGTCGATGGGTATCCTGGGATTGGGTGGCAATTGGTCCAGGGTGTACACCACCTCTCGCCTTGGTCACCATGACCCAAGTTTTCCAAAACTACTATTCTTATGAAAGTTTCAGACTATGAAAATTATCACGGCAAAAAATATTTGACATTATTAAATGTACAAAGTGTATATTCCAAACTATATAAAGGGAAGGTTATTGAAATAATGACTTGGTCTAACTCAACTATTTGGAGATTTTGCAGACACAACCTGTGGTTAAAAAGTGTGGAGGCAGTGTTTCACAGTTCTGGACCATGCCTTGTTTCTTAATGTCAGCCCAAAACAAAAAAATAAATAAATAAATAAATAAATAAATAATGTATTTACAGTATTTGTGCAATGTGTGAATGACAGTTGGGCTCGGATTCAAAATTGCTCCAATGGCCACAGGCTAATGTGGAACCTCCCACTCGACAAATCCTCCTCTACCTGTCAGGCAACTTTTTTTTTTTATTTTTTTTTTATGGTGCCATTGCTTGAGGATCAGTTGAGAGGAAGACAATATGGTAAGCGCTTCCAATCAGGTAATCATTTAGTACAGAGGCTAATATTAGATACTCCTGCCAGAATGAATGTCTGCCAACTTTCAATCTAGTGTTGTTCTTGTTAAGAGAATCTTCAGTCGCATACTGCTTCAGCCTTACAGTAGATACGCTCAATGACAGCTGTCATTCACATGTGGCAGAACGTCGAATTTGTGCGGACGGGCTACGGCAAGAACACGGTCAAAGTGTTGTGCATCAGGAGACAGGGGAGCCACCATGACATCATCGAGCTCAAGACAGACGTGCAGCTCACTCTCAAGTCCCGCAAGGACTATCTCACTGGAGACAACTCGGACATCATCCCAACTGACACAATCAAGAACACTGTCCATGCCTTGGCCAAATTGAAAGGGGTAGGTTGTACCACACGACCACCACAATCCATACACAGTGAGGAGTACAGTATCCAAATAAAGCCTTTAACCAGAACTCATCACACTACTAAATTGTTTTTATTTTTATTTTAGAATTTAAAAAAAACAATCAGGTTAAGGTGTATAATTGTTGAGTGTGACTATATGTAATGCTAATTATGCTGAAGCACCGGTACTTCCAGTTGCCCCAAAATGCAAAAAAATTACCAACATTCTGACTGAAGGCTGTGTAGTGAGGCATATCAATGAACCAAAGTTGGGAAATGTACCAGATTGACAATGTATTCCTTTGCAATTATCTTTCTACTTCATGCGGTGCAAATTTAGTTGTGATTGGAAAGATTCCCAAGGACAATTCTATCTTGAAGAAACCCTGCGAATGGCCAAAATGACTGCTTCAACCCAAAGTGGCAGACTTCCCATGTGTATTTGGGCATGCTTTCTTGCCATTTGTGGATCTACTCATGTTTTGACAAACAAACTGAATTCCAAGTTGCAAACTGACAAGCGAAACTGGCCTTGGGGCCTGAACGTCAAAAAAAAAAAAAAAAGGGGGGGGGAGGGGGAATGTCTACCCCCAGCCCTTTGGAATGCAGTTTTTGGGGATGCAGGTGAAATTGGGGGAAAACCTAGAGCCACAACCTCTATCAAATGTGAATTTTCGCCAAGATGTACACACCTGTAGAATTTGGTGAGTTTTGTACCAGTAGTATACCGGTACATATGTACCGGTATACACTGTAGTAATACTGTGTTTGATCTTTTTTTTCATGTCATTATGTATTCCATACTGTAGATACAATTACACAGTTTTGTCATAGTAGAGTACATCTGATTATGAAGTGTTAGAGTTTGCGAGGAATTGTCAGGCACAAAATGTGTGTACCGGTATATCGCTCTCCTACCTCACACTGTATTTTTGTGTTCAGGTGAAGACCATTGAGCAGTTTTCTTTGGATCTTTGTCACCATTTCCTGACCTCTTTCAACCACGTGTTGAGGGTCAAGGTTTACATGGAGGAGGCACCATGGAAAAGGCTGGACAAGGTAAAAAAAAAAAAAATAGACCAAGGTTAACAAAGGATGTCATTCTGTTTTGATCATGATCCCGAGCCACATTCTTTTTTCAACACTGAGTAACTCTGGTATCATCAAAAAACACACATTAACTTGAGCCTTTCCAGATCAAGGATTTTGGGACCGTTCTGGGTATAGTTTTGAACATGGACATAATCGAAAATGCTGTGGTTAAATAACAACCTTCTATGGCCACAGTCATGTAATTTTAGTTCAACAATTCGACACTGTACTTGGGTATGAACACATCCAAAGATATCACTGAGTGAGGTTGGGAGTAATACTATTTCCATTGTAATTAACAAGAATGCGAAATAAACTGGAAAAGCTCCCAAAAGGGAACATTGAGATATTGGGTAACAACAATCAAATACTGCGCAAACCCAGATTTCAAACTTGTCTGGTGCGTCTTTTCAGTCCCATACACACAGCATGGCCAATGCGACTCCACGTTCATGTTATTGTTCCAAGGAAAAAAACTTCCATCCATTTTTGTACAGCACTTGTCTTCATCAGTGCCATGAGTAAGTTGGAGCCCATCGAAGCTGACTTTGGCCAAGAGGCGGGGTACACCTCGGACATTTGTCCCTGGTCAGTGTGCGACCACTGCTCATGTTTTTTCTTTTCCTGTTTCAGAATGGAGTGGAACATGCTCACGCCTTCATTTACAACCCGGAAACCATCCGATTCTGTGAAATCGAACAATATTTGCACGGTACTGCAATCACCTTTCTGTTGTATTGTCTGTTTGTGCGGTTGGCACTCCGCGCACTCTCTCTCTGTCCCTTACTCAGGCATTCCGGTGATCCATGGTGGACTCAAGGACATGAAGGTATTGAAAACTACTCAGTCAGGTTTCGTGGGTTTCCTCCGAGACCGCTTCACCACACTGCAAGAGGCCACGGACAGGTGTTTCTGTACCACTGTCTGTGCCAAGTGGCGCTACAACAAGGTTCAAGATGTCAACTTTGACACTGTATGGTAATGACAAAATCCAATTCATTAGCCTTACACACCTGTGCGGTAGCAGCGATGACAAAGCTCCAATGTTTCATCTAAATTCACCCTTGTTCTGGTAGGAAATGCGTCAAAGACACAATTATTGAGACGTTTGCAGGACCCTTTGATCAGGGAAAGTTCTCACCCTCTGTGCAGAAGACACTTTATGATACACAAGTCCTCGTCCTCACTCGGGTTCCTGAGGTAAGGCCAGAACTTTATCATATTGACACACCACCCATTAAGAATACCGCTGTCACGGTGTAGTATTTACAGAATTAGTCTTTGCATATGCCTAGCCATTTCACATTCATTATACATTAGTGGCAGTGTTTTGTGTTATTACCTTTATTTGCATGCAGTATTTTCAGTTGCCGATTTAGATTCTTTTGTTTTAATACGGCACAATTTTAAAATCCATTCACATACTCATGTGCCATCATGAAGGCAAATTCCTTGCTTTTGCTGCATTCCCCTTCTTGGCAATAAACCAGATTCTGATATTGCATGTTATCATAACCTTTCTTTGTTGGTTGGCGATGAGAAAGCACATGGTTCCATTGCCATTTAGTGAGACGTGTAGCTGTATGTAGGAAATCAAAAGAGCTACGGTCAGTTAATGCATCCTAGCTATTGTGTGCACTGATTTACAGGTGGATGAAATTGAGATCATCATGCCCAACAACCACTACTTCAACATCGACATGACAAAAATGGGCATTGAGAACAAGGCCGAAGTAAGTTCAGTTATGGTCAATTGTGATGTAATTTATTGACCGAAATGTTTTTCTTACTGTCACAGGTTCTTCTTCCCGTTGACAACCCGTCAGGAAACATCACAGGGACAGTGCGTAGGAAGCACGCCAGGCTGTGAAGACACAAGTGCAAATACAGAATAATTATGCTATAGCAACATCGATGATGCATATATCACCTTAGTCTCAGTACCAATCACCAATAAACAGGTGTTGTCTTTGGTGAGAAAAGAGCACCCTTTATTGCAAGTCTTTGAGTGAAATATTCCAGTGTTGCACATGGTTAAACACACATACACACACCTGATTAGTTGTCTTTTCAACCAAGTTGAAGCACCACAGGTAGTAGGGATACCATCATTATACACACATTTCCATTTTCAAAAAACCAAGCAAGGCTTGTTTTATCTGGGAAAAGTATAATACTTCATATTTGCAGCAGAGTGGTAATGCATGGACTCAGTTGCGCAGTATAGAGCATATACATCTTTTTTTTTTTTCAGGCAAATTCAACAGTACCGCATCTGTACTTTCTGCCGTGTCAAAGTGTTCCGGTGTTTTAAATCATATATCATCTTATGTACAAATACCGTTTTTTAAAACCATCACTGGTTCATGACACACACCCACGCACACATATAGCACTATCCACACAAACAAATCACACTTCTTTTACACCATCATTAACAAGGATTCTTGTCTTAAATAAAACATAAAGAATAAAATATAAAATACAAATCTGAAGCAGCAGACATAAGAACAGCTAAAAAGGTAAACAGCTCATGAGACCCCATAGGTGCCACCCATGTTTCTAAAAACATATTGAAATTGATCCTGTTTTAAGGTGCCATGCGGCCAGAGCAGTCTCTGCCAACGGACAGCTGGTTGGGAGTTGTCGATTGTCACTGAAGCGGTGCAGTAGCGAGCTCCTGGTGACGTGCTAACAGGCGTTGCTCTTTAGGTGTTGGGTTTGCAGTGGCTTCACGTGATACTCGTAGATCTTCAGCGCTGGGCCCAGCTTTATGGACAGGCCCGTCAACACGTCATTACGTGTCATCAGGAGCAATGACTTGCCATCGATTTCCTGTCAAGAAGTGAATCACTGTTATTGCCATTGCCACCCACGTTAGTTGCCTTAAAGTCAAAATAAAGGCGGGTAGGGAGGTTAACCTGATCTTGGAATGCTGTGGCTTGCTCCTCGAACCCTGTTGCTTTAAAGTAATTGACGACATCAGCAACGGCCCAGTTGGCTGGATCTGGAAGCTGGCCGTTCTCCACTGGGCTGCGGAGACAGTGTATTGTTCATGATAAGTTTCTAGACTTAGCATAGTCTTAAAACCATGCAGACAAACGCAGCATCATTGAGTACAGTACTGTGCAAAAGTCCACCAATGGACAACTTGGGGTTGCTGTTAAAAAAAAAAAAAAAAAAAAAAAGCTAACTATATGTTAACGAGATGCAAGTCTTCTATCTGACTTCTGTCGAGGTGCCTGCTTGCACGCTACATTCTCTGAGATTTCTGATGTGATCTAGTACTCTGTGGTGCGCAGGGGCATCACTAGGTCTTATGGATGGGGTGGGGGGAATCACAGGATGTGAGTGAGTGCAGCATGCAAGCACAATGTTTCACAAGGAGCTAAAGACTGATCATCCTGTGTAAATGTTTACAGTTAACATTAGATTTGTAGTGTTATTTCAGTCTGTTTTGAAATACACTACACAAACACAGGAAGTGTGTGTGTGTGTGTGTGTGTGTGTGTGTGTGTATACAGCATTACCTGCACAAAAACAAGTTCTAACAGTGCGCAAAACTATGCAAACAAGGGTCACTGTGGTGTGACCAAGTGATCACTTAACCCAAAAAAAAAAAAAAACAAAGAAAAAAAAAAAACTAGCTGTTGTGGTCTTGAAAATATCTGGGACAGGCTAATTTGGCCTCTATTTATCTCTTGGCTCCTCCACTTTCTAATCGTTAATTTCCTCAATAAAATTTCATGTAATATAAGTCTTATAACCCTAACCCTAACCCACACGTCTGACTGTAAACATAACAAGGATACTCTTCTCAGTAATCTGAGATTGTACCTTTTGGTGTCAACAGAGCCATTTGCCTTTTCTTCCATGACGGCTGCAAAAAAAAACAATTGGGAAATTATGAAATATCAGTCCACTCATAAATGCTCTCAAACTTGAAATTAATGTGCATAGTTCTCAAACAATAACTACACCATTTGTCACAAACATCAAGTAAAATATGCAAGCATAAGCTAAACTCACTCTGCTATTATTAAGCTTTTCATTCGCTGGGTAAACTACTAGTCAGCAACATGAACGCTAATGTACTGATTTCTACTTACAAAGTAACGCTGCAATTAACTTTCATCAGATTGTTTTTCTTGTCGATCTTAAAGTACGGTTGGTAGGTTTAACATCCTTCTTTTTGTAGTCTTGCAACGACTCGATGTTTCTGTCGGAATAAAAAAATGTCAGAAACAAGTGCTCAGAGGCAAAATGTCAAAGTAAAGACAGGCAAACAACGTGCACAAGGAAATTGATCGGGAAGGGCATAACAAATCTGCTATTATGTCAGTAACTAAAACACGTAACTCGAGATGCAATGCGTAAAAATGACGCCCTTAAAGTCACATTTCACAATTGATAGTTGTATTAAAAAATAAAATAGCGTCAACACAAACCCTCGCGCTATTCAATGGGTGCCAACGACTAATTTTAATAGCAAAATACAACGTGGCTCAAATGGTAAAACAGTCACAATAAACAGAAAGCGAAAATCTTATACTGTCGCTGCCTTCTATTTATCAAGCTAACATGGACAGTTAGCTGGGTTTGCTAATTCAAAATCGAACACATTTTGAATGACTATTTTTTTGACAATAACGCGCCGTTCAAATTAAACAACTTACGGGTGACGACAAAAAGTTCCCGACTTCCCGTGGTGTTTTGCCAGCAAACAACGCAAGATATTCATTTGATACTATCAAAAATTAATCAAAGCCAACTAGCTGCTTTTCGTCACAGCTTCCCTTTCCCACGTCAGTGAAGAATCACGGGAAGTGGAGTTTAATTCATCCATGGCGCATGTGTTGTACTTTTTTGCACCCACTTGAACATTGAATCAGTCGTTTTTTTTCTAATAAAATGCTTTATTATTGTGACATATTCTTTGTTACATAAAATCTGCTACAGCAAAGAATATTCCCTTTGCAAACACAAATAAAGTTAGATGAGGAAAAACGTGTCAGCCATCTGAATGCTGTGCAAAACGTCCCGCAAACTAAATACAAAGATATGTCAGGAATATTGAGCCCATACTGGCATATGTGACTAGCTACAGAGAGAACCCAAACGACCTTGTTTATTCAGGAGTGAAGAGGCTTGGGAGGGGGCATTGTTTACATCACACATGACAAACATCATTACACACAGGATCTTAAATGACACTGAAAGAGCTGTGGATTTCACACAAAAATAGTTTGTGACACACAGGCATTTTGGATTGAAACATGCTGAAGATCAAGGTGTTAATTAGCAGACATTGTCCTTGTGTAAATATCATGGACGCACAACATTCTGCGTAACCCTTTGTGCCAAACTATGGATACAAAGTTGAATGACACGCACGCAAAAGTAAAGCAATTCAGCGAAAGGAAAAAGGACTTCACTGGAATGAGAGGCATCGGTGTGGAATAACTTCTGAAGTGTCAATACACGTCTTCAGGGAAATGATTGGATCATAAATATGATTAACAAATATAATTGTTTTTAATAAATATAAGAAAGGACACAAGACACAGAACCTTATAAATTAAATGTGAATAAAATAGGCATTAAGTTAACCTATGAAAAAATACTGGCTGACAACTTCTTCCCATTTTATTTTTAAAAATTGTGTCCAATAGTCAAACTAAATCGGGCTGCATTTTGTCTCCTTTATAGGACATTGAGCACCATGTCATTGAAAACATTGGAGAACTAATGTGAAATGCTGACAGTTGCTTTAATTCTTCGAACAAAGTGTGAAATGTAAGAACATAAATAAAGTTACATTTCCTCAAACCTGTGTTTGACCTGTAGGAAAAGGGCCTCGCTTGTGAAGCAAGACAAAGCCTAACCTCTGAAAGACTTCCATGGTTAACTACTGCGGTGGTATGAAACACTCCATAGAGCTGCAATGTTGACTTGAGTCACTCTGGTGGGTGGTGTGAGGAGGCAACGATTTCAATTCAGCTACAGTGATGAGATACCTTGTACAGAGGAATTCCTCACAAAAAAATACAAATAAAATCTTAATTTGTCATCATGGAGAAATATAACTGTGTGAAGAACAGGAACAGCCAGTGCCGGAAAAAAGTTGGCTCCAATTTTGTGTTTCATACTTTGCTGCTTCAGTTTGTGATTCACATAGCTTCTATGCGGTTGTTATTAGTTGGATTTATTATTTTTTTTAAAATTAAAAACAGAAATTCTCAAGAAGATTGTAATTACTGACTCTTTGTTCACACTTGGATCCTAATTGAAGTCTTTCTTTCCTTCAGCGTGACACACAATTTATTTTTTTTCATGCTGAAGCTACATCAGTAAAACACAAAAATGTGTCTATCCCCACACTTTGCCCAAAACTGTACACGTTTTTTTTTCACTGACATGAGCCATCTGAGACAATTTGCAAAAAAAGACAAAGCGACTATCACAGTGTACAACTTGATGAACAAAGATGCAAATACTATGCATTATTACTGCAGTCAGAAGGATGAGAACATCTGGTTTGCTGTTTCGCATCAATTAATACTTGGCGTCGTGTGATGATGCAGGAAAATACCACACCAATCGGAATAATAATACATTCTGCGCTAAAATGAAACAACTGATAAAATATAATAAATGATCGGAACGGCTTCAGTGCACTGTATCTTGACAGTGGTGCGCAAATGGACGGATGGATGAAAAAACAAACCAGGGTCAGATATAACATACAAAAACCAGTCAAAGCAAACTATGGCAGTGACATTATTTCTTGTAACTATGTTGCTCCAGCACAATTAGCATTCAAAACCACAGCAAAAAAAAACAAAACTGTTCATTCAGCAACATTTGGGAAAATTCGGCATCAAAGATTTTGGAAATGTTCTGGATGTGCGGAAAATCACAAGCTCCTTCCTTATCCCCCCCAGCTCAAAAACATAAAATGTACCTTGAGAATATATCATTCAAATATCACATCAGGTCTGAAGTACAGTTCAAGGACATGTCCAATGAAGTGATATGGTTGTAACAATGCTACAAATGATGCACTACAATAATATCAATAGCAACGTTTTGCTTCATATTAATACTTCAATGCCCATCCATCTGCTTTAAAACTGCCCAGTGGGGAAAAAAACCCAAACCTAAAGATAAAATAAGAATAATAATGTCATAAACTTTCCCTTGTTTCCTCAAATATGATTTTGCCATCCTGTAACGGCCACACAAAAACTAGGAGTACTGTATTCACGAAAACACATTTATACGCCGAAAGAGGACAATGTTTGGAGTGTAGCTGTCGAGCTGGCCAAAATCAAGTGCATCTTTCTAAAGCTTTAAGAAAAAGTTAAAGCTCCATTTTTTGGTAAAATTCCAGTGATTAACTGAATAAACATGTCCAATAGAATTACTTACAATACACACTGTGAGTACAATTTTTTTCCAGCTCAAAATGAGCTTGTCATGTAGCCATAAATGTGCTTCTGTATAATGGACAAAGCTACAACAAACAGCTCAGTGCAGTGCTAGCTCTTAACTGCTTGGATTGTTCTTACAAAAAGTGCTACCTTGAGCCATTCACTCAGTCAGTCAGTCAGTCGGTCAGTCACAATTATGGTACTAGCTCAATTCAATCTTATTTGAGGGAAAAAAAAGTCTTCATTGCAAATGACATCCTATGAAACTGCTGTGGTGCAACCTTGATGTAGCACACACAAGAACTTTAACCGGGCAGACAATGAAGCCTGCTGCGAGCCCGACTTCGATTTCAGTCATGCAGTAGACAAGGAATGATTGGCGGCTTCTGACCAGTCGTACGACAGAATTTGTGTCGGCCGCAACAGAGATGACAGAGTTGAAACAGAGTCACGATTATATCTTATATTGAGTTTACCTCGCTCTGCACCTGCACAGAGTTGATACACAGCTTGCTAAAAATCATGGATCATGTGAGCGGTAAGGGATTGTTGGCTTTCGGGAGAAATTGCAGGAAGAACCGTTAAGGGAAGAGGCCAATGAGTGGAGAGCGTTACTTTGTCATCAGAAGGCGGCAACTAGAACAATAAGACTGGAAGAGTCACAGAAAGGCATACAAGTGGACGTTGTTGGAAATTTCCATCGATCAAAGACTTGTTTTGAAATTTCCCATTTGGCTCCTTGTTGGGGAACCGCAAAGAGTACTGAAACATTGAACAGTTGGAAAATAAGTTCACCTGCAAAGATTCATTACTAGTTCCTCCTGAAATTTCACCCGGAAGCCAAATGAACATAACTTTTTTTGTGAGTAGACTATATGAACGTTTCTGTTTCTCTCTCTCTCTTTTCCTGTTTGTTTTTGATACAGATAAAGGCACAGAAGATATGGGAAGCACATTGTATTTTAGCATGAACATTCCAAGTCTACAGAAAGTTGAAACTTGCAATTTTCTTCTTGATTTGTTTGACAGTCAACAACAACGTGCATTACTGATGCCAACAAGAGTTAAGTGGACAAGTCACGACCTGAACCTACAGTGTGGGCACTTCAATTGTTAAGGTTTACTAGTGCCCAGCTTCAGGGTATCATCCAAGCAAGTAATTTTTATTTTTCAGACAAGGGTGTTGGTCACTATATATATATATTTTTTAATCCAAGCCAATTTATATAATGGTGTGGTTCCGCTGTTGGGGCCACAGCAAACTTTTCCACATTGGCAATTGTTCCTAGAGTGGTGACAGTTCACTTGGCAAGCACTGCATACCGGTAGATACGCCATGAATTAGGGGCCCAGTAAAAAAAATATATAAGCCCACCATTTTAATGTAGCAAATTGAAAACACTATTTTCTAGGGTCCATGCCTCAGCTGACAATACTATGCCCAGGAATCTTGCATGTGTGTACATTTGGCCTATGTTTATGTAAAATGTTGAATATATAGTGAGATGTATTTTAAATAATTTAGACATTTATAAGAACAATAACTTGTAGCTGCGTGTGATGCACAACGGTGGTGTTGACTTCTCAACTTTCAGAGTCAACTCAACTCACTTGGAACATTTTAACATTAAAACCAATAAGCAAGACATTTCCCAGAACCTTTCCATACAATCCACCGGAACGCTGAACAATGGAGTCCAAAAGAATAAGAAATACGTGCAATATCAGATGCTACCATGTATCATCACCAGTGACACTTAAAAATAATTTTGAATTTCCTGTTATTTCACCAAAATAACAATTCTAACTGAAGTTGGGAAAACTGTCAGAAAGAAATTTCACAAAAAAGGGCCGGAAAGTTAAAAAGGTGGTTTCATATAGTTGTGTTGCAACACAAGGGTGTGTCTGCATAATGTACCTGTGTGCGGGCTTGTGTTATGAACAGCACATAAGATCATGGCATAAAGGACCTCATTCAGCCGTGTGTAACAAAAGAACAGAGCATTTGTTTTGGACACGTCAGCCGCAGTTCCACCTTAACCCTCTAGGAGAGTGCAAATATCCTGAAACGTGTACCCTGATGGGACTCTCATCCACTGACTAGAATTCAGCAAACTCTTTAGCACACTTTTCTGTTTGTGAGACACGAATGTCCTCCTCTTCGTAGTCATCAAAGTTGCTTGTGTCTCCTGGTCCTCTGCACTTGGGTAAGAACGGGGC